GGGCCGGGCCGGGCCCACCTCTGGTTGGGAGGGTACGAGGCTCCTGATCCCCTCGGGGTCCCGGAGGCCCCCCCACGGCGAAAGGTCGGGGGTAAAAAGTGGGTGTGGGAGGAGGGCCGTCAGAGCCTGAGATGAGCAGACGGTGGCGAAAAGCGAACTGCCTTTGGAACGTTTGTCTAACGAAGATAGACGAGTCTAGAGAAAAGCTGATTAAGCATCTGAACGGGACAACTTTGGGTGGTTCAGGCCAAGGCAAGACTTTATGTTGATTTTGCTCAGTTTCCAAGCCTAGTGACGTCCTTGTGAAAAGGAAGCAAGTTGTCAAGAAAGTCTCATGAAATTTTTAAAGGGTGGGATCTTTCACTTTATATAACTTGAATGTTATTATTTAAATTTTTACCATAAACAAATTTTGCCTTAAAGGTAATATTTGTACATACAACTTTTATTTTATTTCAAAGAATAAAAAGATAAAATAGTAGACTATTTAAAATAAGTAGCCCTAGCCAGCTTTGCTCGGTGGTTAGAGCGTCAGCCCTTGGACTGCAGGGTCCCTTCTGGGCTCCATTCTGGCCAACGGCATGTGCCTGAGTTGCAGGTTTGATCCCTGGCCCTGGTTGGGGCTCATGCAGGAGGCAACCAATTGATGTGTTTCCCTCACATCAATGTTTCTCTCTCTCTCCCTTCCACTCTCTCTGAAAAGCAATGGAAAAAATATCCTCAGGTAAGGATTAACAAATATAATAATAATAATATGTTTCATTGTTGTTAGTTCTCCATTAGTTCTCCAAATGCACAGGAAAGCAGGCACCATGGGCCCTAGCTGAGAGGGCCCTGGGGAGGTCTTGGTCCAGTCCGTCTTTAGGTGGTATCCTGCTAATTGAGAGGGAGAAGTATAGGTGGCCTTCTACTGAAGGGACTTCCGCAGGAAGTGAGGAAAGTCTGGGCAGGCTTGGGGTACTGAGGGTCCTCAACACAGAGGAGAGGAGCCCTGGAAACAGACTGGATGAAGTATGTGGGCATGGAGTTTCTAGGAGGGATCCCCTCAGAGCCTTCTGGTCTCTTTCTATCTCTGGCCGCTGGCCTCTTCTGGAGACCAACATTCTTACCACAGGGTGGCTCCTGCTGAAGGATCAGGCACACCCAAACAATAGCTTTTGGAGTCCCTAGTACCTCATTCTGTAGACTCTGGCTGAGCTGGGAAGGAAGTCAGAGCCACAATCCTTGCCTCACCTCTTGGAATGAATGCCTTGCACCTAAGAGGTCTCTGCGGAGACCAACGGGCTATAGAGTTGAGAAAAGCAATGGCTCACAGCTCGACCCTGTCATTTAAAATAATAGCTGTTGCTCATTGAGCACATATTATGTGCAAGACACCCTTCTAAGCTCTTTACATAGATTGCCTCACTATTAATTGCAGAAGATAAGTAAGTCACAATACCTCGATCTATCCATGTATTAAAGTGGGATATCTATTTCATGTTTTTATGGAAATATTAGAAAGCAGGCCTTCTCAAACATTAATGTGCATATGAGCCAGCTGGGAATCCTGTTTAAATGCAGATTCTGACTCGGATTTGAAGCAGGGCCCAAGATTTTGCCTTTCCAACAAGTTTCCAGGTGCTGCTGCTGCTGCTGGTCCAGGGACCATACTTGGAGCAGCAAGGACTTAGAGCACAGTACTTGGCAGTTGGTAGGCACTCAGTAAATATTCTTTAAGTGAATTGACTAAATGAGATTAGATGCAAAATGTTCATAAACTGTAAAGTGCTGTGCAAGTGTATGGAATCATCGCTCTACGACAATAAGGCTGGGAAATCTGTCTGGAAAATGGCAAACTCCTAGAAAAGTAACTATAGAATAGCACCTTAGAACACTATTCCTGCATCAGACTATCTGGGTGCAAATCCCATCACTCAGCAGGCAGAGCTTGGGCAAGTAATTTAATCTTTTGTACCTCAATTTCTTAATCTATAATATGCAGTGAAATGCCTACCTCACTGGGCTACTATGGGATTTATTGAGATGATACATCAGTCTCTTAGCACAGGGCCTGGCAAAGAGTAATAGCTCTATACGTTTTATTTATTATTATTATTTGCCTCCTGGATTTGGGGCGGCCCCAAAGCCCACAGGAGCCTGGTTCTCAGTATTATAGGGGTCAGCACCCAGCTTTATAAGGGCCATGGGACCAATTCCTCTTTCTTCTTTTGTGCCCCTGATATCTCCAATATGTTTAAAGTTATAATGCACATAAAAATCAATTATAATACAGCCACCTCCAAGACAGCAAGAAAGGAAGTGAAGAAGAAAAGCAGTAGGATCTGGTGAGGAATCAAATTGCCAAGGAAAGAGTTTGGGGATTCTGAACCACATCAGGAGGGTTCATATGTCTATAGAGGCACTTGGGGAGTACAAGGGCTGTGAGTAAGGCT